TGGGGCCACCGGCCTCGCGCACCAACAGTCAGCTCTGAGCATCCAGGCACAGCGGCCCTGCCTCAGGAGGTCACGACCTAAGACAGACGGCGTGCAAATGACCAGATCCAAAGGTGAGCTCAGCAGTCCATCTCCCGTGATTTACCGCCAGGCCCATGGAGAGTGTGACTGAAGACACTCTTTGGGGTATGGAGAGTGGAAGTGTCCTCGTTAGAATTCAGGTGGCCTTTGGATAACACGAAGAAAGAATTTAATAAATGCCTTAAGCCAAATGAAGTCATCCTGCAATATTCACCTGGCAGCAGGAAATTTTTCCTTTTCTTAAAACAGAATCACCAGGTTGTAGGAAGCGTAAGGCCTCCAAGGGCTCCGTCGGCACCACCCCCATTTACCAAAGCCGTCCCTAGCCTCAGGGTGGAGGACAAGAGCCCTTAGTAGAGCCCCACACGCAGGGCCCCACAAATGTCCACGAGACTGGGGGTGCTGGACAAGGCAGGTGGAAGGTGGCATTCACTCGAACACACCGCCCACCCAAGGGCCAGCTCCGCAGCAGCTCATTCCCCAAGCACCCGGCAGAGCCCTGACTTTCCCCTAGGGACCCAGCTCTTCCATTTCCCTTCAGAAAGCTGTAGGTGGTGTTCATTTCAGGACACGCCCCGGCGGCACACTCACTTCTGAATCAGCCTCGCAGGACCCTGGGGAGGAAGGGACCCCAGCCCGCGGCAACGTCCCCGCCACCCAGAGAGCTTTCCCCACTGCACCAATGGCAACTCCATGAGCTTGGAAATGCTCAGAACTGCCCACTGCACAACCAGCAACCAGCCCTCCATCCCCTTCCCACCCCGTCCCCCCCCGCTCCCTTTCACAGCCACACTACTCAGAAGATGGGGGTCACCTCAACGCAAGCTGAGGTCAGCCCACCCCACCCAAAGTGCACCTGTCTACAGCCATCAACGGCCAGGGCACTGTGCCCCGGTGTACATGGGCCTTCCAAACAGAGCTGCCCGCTCCCCACCATGACCCACTGACCCCACCACTGCCTTCCCAGAGCTGCATTCCACATAAGGCACTCTGGAGAGGCACTCACTGTGTGGGCCAATTCAATTTAAATTTAAATAAATTAAAATTAAAACTTCAGGTCCTCAGTCACATTTTTCAATGTCGAATAAGCCGCTATGACCACAGGCTACCCCACTGGGCACTTGCATCACCCTAGAACCTTCTACTGCATGCGCTGCTCCAGAATCCCTGCCACTGGCTCCGAGCATGCCAGGGCTTCCTCTCCTCCCTCCCTCCCCGTCGCACCCTGGCCACACCCCCCGGCACCTTCATATACTTGCACACTCACCCTGGGTCACTCCCGTGTCCTGGCCATTGTGAACAATGCTGCAATGAGCGTGAGGGTGCATGTGCCTCTTGGGATACTGATCTCATTTCCTTGGAATAAACAAATTCACTGAAGTTGCAAGTTAAACATCAATACACAAAAATCACTTGCATTTTTCTACCCTAACAGTGAACTACAGGGAACTATCCCATGGACAAGTGCCTCGAAAAGAATAAAATACTTAGTAGATCCAACCACGGAGGTGACAGGCCTGCACACTGGCAACTGAAGCACCGAGGAACAGAACTGAGCACGAGACAACAAACGGGAAGACGTCCTGCGCTCGCGAACCTGAGGAATTAACGGGGCAGGAGGCCCCCACTACCCAAAGCCACTTGCAGACTCAGCGCAGTCCCCACCAAAATCCCAGTGACATTTTTCACAGAAATGGAAAAGCAAACTTAAAATTCATATGGGACCACCAAAGACCCCGAGTAGCTAAAGCAATCCCGAGCTGGATGACGTTCTAATGCCATTTAGCGCAGAGGAATTACAGTCCAGAAACTTGGCCTCAGTCTGTGCCCTTGGGGAAACCTGTGTTCGCCAACCCCTCTGGGCCCGTCTTCTCCCCAGCAAGGTCCCTTCTGGTGGACACCCCATCACGGGGAGGCAGAGCTCACCCCAGACTGCATCTCGAGGGTTAGGAACCCCTCGTCAACAGGGTACAAGGCACATCCTCTCCCATAATCTCGGGCGGTCAAGCAGCCAGGCTCAGACACAATGGCAGCTTCTGTCCCAGGACCTGCCAGACGAGGGGCTTCCACAGGCCTCCGGACTAAAGGGCAACCACGGGAAATGGTGGGGGAAGGCAGACAACGACCTCTGTGCCCTCCCCAGGATTCTGCTGCTGCAAGGAGGGGCCCGAGGAGCAGGGGACAGTGCTTACTCCTGATGTGCCGCGCCCTCTGTCCCAAACCTTCTCTCCCTGGATGTTCATGGGGCTCTCTCCACCCCCCACTCAGGTCCCAGCTCAGACCTCCACAAAACAGCCGTCCCCAGGCCCATGGGACGTGATCCCCAAGAGATTACGGCAGCTCCCGACGCCCAGGTCATGCCCTGCACGTCACTGCCTCAGCTCCCCTGGCACCAGGAGGACTGCAGGTCCAGCCCCCTGTGGGATCTGGGCTCTTCCCCTCCATCTGGCAGGACAATCTGAGCATGCCACTTCCCCTCACTCTCCCTCATACCCGGCTCCGTGCTCCTCACTGTTTTCTCCACAGCAAACACCCCGACCTAACGAGAGCCTTGCATTTGCCAGGGGCTCATTTCTCTACACTCCTGCATCTGTCCCGCTGGGACAGAAGCGCACTCAGGGAAGAAACTTCTGCTCAGCTGGAGGCCAAGGGCCGGCACGCTCCCCCCTCCACTGTCATCCCTCCAGGAGGAGAGGACAGAGGGAGCAGCTCCCCAGCCGCACCTCTGTGCTGGGACCACAGTGAGGGCAGAAAACAAGCTCAGGGGTCTCTCCTGCTGGAGGTAATCTGCAACCATGCGATGGGTGAAGGGCAGGATGCCCCCTTGCCACAGCCCAGGGACGGGGAGCCAAGCGCAAAGCTGGTGGCCGAGTCCTAGAGGCCTGGCACCGGTTCCCACAGCCGAGGCTCCCCAGGAGCCACACTGCCCACTCCGGCTGTCCCGCTTAGAACGAATGTGCAACATGCCCCAGGAGCAGGGGCCATCTTCTTGAAGCACGGGCTCTTGCTGGATTGTCTGTGCTTCTTAAATGTCTGTTGTCACGCCTGTGATGATGCACCTCATTCATCTTCATGCCACAACCTAGTTGGGAGCCAGGGCCAGAGTAGCTGCTCTCCAAAACCCTTGGTGGGCACATGCCCCCAGAGGGCTTCAAGCTACCTCCGAGGGGTTAACGAGCTTTGGAAACACCTGTAATGGCCCAGCTGGTAAACATCCCAGTTTAGGAGAGAGTAATCACCTGAATGCCATCCTGTGATTACTATGTATTTTCATTGCCAAAAGATGTAATACAATTTCATGGTTACTTGGGCCTGTAAAATAGAAATACCCCCAATTTTTAAGATACGAAAAGGTTTATGACCAGGGTACTGTCAGTTCAAGACATGAGTCCACGGTACAAATGAGTCAATTCATGACAAAATTTAATTTCAGGAAAATTAATGCAATAAAGATGCCACAACTGTGCTTCAAGTTTTAATACCTATTAGGAGTTTTAGCGAAGTGGTGCGGGACCGTGGGCACACAGATCCATTGTCTGGCTCCTCACAATGCGACTTGACTTCATACCTAATTTATCTGTAATGGGGAGAGCATTACAAGGAACTGTGTGTTTAATGAGGGGGCCAGGGTCTTCGATAGCCTAACCCATCACAAACGGAGAGCGTTCCCATGTCACGGGATATTAAGTTTGTTTCCTACATCGCTACCAAGACCCAGTTAGTAGCACCAGGCTGATGGCCACTTTCACCAAACAGCCCAGGGAAGGCTTTATGTCCCAGCAAATGTCAGTGGCCAGAAATTCTGTAATTGCCAAGTACTTAGAAAAGCAAAACCAAAGTGGGGGATCTGGATGCAAGCAACTGAGTCGTCATAATTTCTGTAGTGAATATGATTCGAATAAGCAAGCCGCAAAAACGGAAAGCAAAGTCAAAGCACGGGGCTTCAGAACCACAAAACACCCCCGAGCCCACGCAGGACACAAGGACCACCGTCAGGAACAGAACTTCGGGTTGCTGCTCTAGCTGACTCCCATGACCACAAGCTCAGAGTCAGACAGCGGCGCGTGCCTGGGCCGGGCCGCGCAGCAGCTAGAACTCGGATCCCACGGGAAGAACGCAGGTCCAGACCAAGGGCTCCCGCAATGGAGGGAAGGGAAGGGCAGGACACGCTCTCAGGGGCCTCCTGCCTCCCACCACCACGTCCAAGGACACCCATGTGCAGGGCTCCCACACCGGAGGCCAGCCCCAAGAGGGGGACTTACGCTGCCCTACACACCAGCCGCCGCCCGGCGCTCCCTTTCCCAGTCCAGAGCCCGCAAAGGCAAAAACCCTGCCTCTCAGAGTGAAGAAAGCAGCCTCCGCAGGCCTCCACTCTCCGTCCCACGTAAGGCTCCCGCTATCTGCGAGGGATGATGAAAAGCGGGCGTATAAGCCCCGCGGCGCGGCCTCAGCTTCAGCAAACATCTCCAGCAACATGAAAAGGTGCTAGAATAAGCAATGGGACACTCGGGGGAACAAAGGTGGTTTGTTCCAGAAAACTCAATCTCCAGAAGAAATGAATTTCATCAAAATCGGTGGAGAGGAGAAAATTTCATATTGCACTGAATCTGTCAGTGATTTTTTTAAAAAATCTTTATTATAAGTAACTCAAAACAGACAATGTGTGAGTCCTGAGTGTGAATGTTTCTGGCAGCTGCGGCGCAGACGTGCGCCGAGTTACAAGAATCCCCCACCGCGCCCCTAGGACCCCGACAAAATGTAAATTGCTCGTGAGCCCCGGGGACACTGGCATCACACGGTCGGAATGAAATTCAACTACAAACAGAACGACAGGAAGTTCTTCCCGGTGTTACGTCTACTCCGCTGACAAGAACACCAGAAAAGACCCTTCCCTGGGCGGCCGCTGAGCAGGCAGAAAGTCAGCGGGCCCAGGCCGGGCGCGGCAGGAGGCCACGGGGGCTGTGGAGACAGCTCACCTGGTACGTGTCCCACAGGCGGATGGTGCAGTGCAGGGGCACTTCCCGCATCAGCAGGTTGTTCATCCAGCGGAAGGCGAACTGCAGGTACCTCACCTCGTGCTGGTCCAGGTGCCGGTGGACTTGCTCTGTGCGAGACAAACACAGGCCCCATGGCTGTGAGGGAGAGCCCCCAGGGTTCTGCCTGGAACCACCCACTCCAACCACCAGACGCCCAAGCAACATCCCCAGGGAGCGAAGAAGTCACCTCCATTAAAAGAGTTCAGATTGACTCTTCCTCTGGAAAGGGAGCGGCAGTGGTGGCCGTGATGGGAACAGTGGCAAGGGTGGCCCCCCAGGTCATGTGTGCGCCCCGCCCCCGGTAAGAGGGGCAGGACCACTCCTGCCTCTCGGGTGAGAAACTGGTCTGCGAGGCCAGCGGATGCTCTGGGACACGCAGTGAGCGCTCTCCCGCCCCGGGCAAGTCCACCAGGCACAGGCTGCAGTTCCAGGAGGGGCTCGGACAGAGAGAGGGAGAGCTCACCAGCTCCCAAAACGACCTCAGGCTCGTCTGGGGACAATTCTCCACCTGCTCCCGGACCCGGCCAGTGAGCGGGCAAGTGGGACACAGCCCTGGGCCCTAGGCTGGGTACCTCTGGATTCCAGTTTGGGGGCTGGCCTCCAGAGAGGAGAGCTGACCCTTCAGAAGAACCATCATTTCCCTGACGCTCAATCTCCCACTGGCCACGAGCGGCTCCTCCCCATTCCGCTGCAACATGCTCCACAGCTGAGGTCCCCTGTGCTCCCGGCCCAGACCTCTCTGCTGGGTGCTCAGCAACCTGGGGGGCAGGCTCCAGAGCTCCATGAAGCTCCACAGTCCATAAATCCTGGAGGTGCCTCTGCAGGAAGCAAAGATTCTGGGGATCGTGGTGACCCTGCTGCTTCCTAGCATTCTGCCCTGTGAAGACCCACTCCGTGCTGTTTCCTAAGACAAGCAAGTACTGCTGAACAGGTCCCGACTTGGAACCAGAACCTTCCCATGCTGTGTTGAATCAGGGTCCACCAAGCACTGCTAAAAGCACTCTTTCCACACACTCCTTTCTGTGAGGTCCTGAGTTACATGCAAGTTCCTTCTCTCTGGGGCTTACCTTCCCCTGTGACCAGCCCTGAGAGCCCTGAGAAGTGACCCTGAAAAAAGCCTACAGGTTTTCCAGGTCTCCCAAAGAAAGTTCTAGAACTAGCAAATAAGTAAGCATGTTTTGTTGCGTACTGGTTTGTTTTTACTCATGTTCCTGGTAACGTGAAGTACTGCAGAGACAAGGCTTTCCTCACTACTAAGCACAGAGGAGGGGGGTGCGAGGGGCGGGAGGACCCTGTCCTGAGACCCGCTGCACCTTCCAGTCACTCTGGCTTACAGTCAGCCTGGCGGGGTGCTCTCGTCCACAGGAGGAAGGCGGGTCACAGAAAAGCTCTGTGGACAGCTCTGGCTCCCATGACTGGAGCCAGTTCCTTCACTGGCTCTGCTACGACACCCCACCCCAAGCCACTGCTGCCCGCGGCGGAGCATGACAAACACGCCTGGGCACCCGCGACGTGGCAGGCGGGGCAGGACACATGCAGGCCGGGTGTGGGGGAACAGCTGGGCCACGTGGTGAGGCAGACCCAGCAACACACTGTAAGATCAATCACAACAAGACAGTGACTAATGACACGGGGCTGAGAAGAAGCACACAGGCTCGTCTCTGAGCCCTTGCAGGCAGCTGGGGGCGAGATGCCAGGAGGAAGCTAGTGGGACGAGGCAGTGGGAAGACCCCAAACGCCCCAAGGCCCACCATGTGCTGCCTCTTCAGGGACAAATGTAGGGACCGAGGGCTCCGGGCGCAGCATAGGGCAGGCTTGGGCCCAGGGTGCCAAGGCCAGGAAGCAGGCAGAGAGGGAAGGCCTGGCAGTGGGGGCTCCTCTGGCTGGTATCTGTTCCCCCGGGGTATTCAGCTCCTATGGGCAGGGGCCCCTCTCCCCAGAGGGGCGATTCACATGCCAGCGGAGGGGGGCTTGTTTTGTTTTTGCTTGACTGAGGGATTCTGGCCCAAGCCCGTGCGAGCTTGAAGGAAGACTCGTGCATTTCTGCATATTACCAATCCCGCTTGTCCTCCCTGGGAAAGCCTAAGGAGAACGTTTCTGTGCACAAGGGGCTGGAGTGGAGCGTGAACCAGGGAGCCATGTTCTAGCAAGGCTGGAGTCAGCTGGAAGCAAACGGAGTCACAGTAGGCAGTAAGAACAGATCCCCCTCAGAAATCTGAAAGCTATTCTTATAGTAAAACCAAATAAATAAGCATTATGAAGTCAATCATCATCATTAATTTTTAGGATAAAACCTAAGTTTTCAACAAAATGTCTTCTTTGCGCTGGGCCCCTTCGAGCTCCATCTTCCGCGCCCCCCGGCCCGCAGACTAGGGCCCGTCCCCCTGTCCTGGGGCGCTGGGTAAACACAGGTGAGAGGCCCTTGAGGAGCTCAGGCCTGAGCAACTGCCAGGGCCCGGGGGAGCACAGGGCCAGCTCAGAGGCAGGCCAGCCTGACAGCAGGGAGCCGCGGGGGATGACCTCAGTGGTCCCCACACTGGGCTGGGCAGCACCCTCATCTCAAGGGCTTAAGAACACAGGTTCTCAGGCTCATCTCGACTTTCTCCATCAAAATCTTTCAGGTGGGGTCTGAGAATCTGTGTTTAGTCAGCTCCCCAGAAGATTGTGATGTGCTGGGAACCCCTCCCAGGGGCCCTGTGAGACAGAGGGCAACAGGACTCCAGCCTCTCACACAGGGTCCCCATTCCAGAAGTTCTGCACACGGGGCAGGGTGGGGCCACACTGTGGTCTATCTAACCGTGTTCTTCTAATCAACTTATGTTTTATTAAATACAATTATTTTTTATTAAACTTAATTTCACTACCAAAGAGAAGTTCCCACTTGCTCTAGGGGAGCATAAAGAGGCCAGCAGTCCATCAACGGCATGGCGCTAGGTGGGGCCTCCCCAGCAGCAGTCCCCAGCAGAACTGAGACACACAGCTTTGCACAGACAAGAGCCCCCAGGCAGGAGGGGGCAATCCTCTCCCTGTGACGCTGGCCCAACATCTTGGGAGCACTTAATGCCTCCAGGGGTTCCACTCAAGATGTTGTGAGGGTCCCATAAATGGCCCACAGTCTGAGAAAACTGGAATGCTAGGAATGCATCTCATCCTCAGCCCTCAGTCCCCCAACACGTCCCAACGGGTGTCACCCGCCGGTGGCACCGAGTGCCAGACGGCACCCCGTCCATACCCAACCACCCGGTGTCGCTGACACTCCAGCCTTCCCCCCACCCCGGGCCTCCCTGTCCCTTCCAGGGCAGAGCTAGTCACGTGCCAAACACCTGGAGAGTTCCCTAAACTCCCTGTGCCGTCAGCCTGCCCCTCTTCTTGCTGCTAAACACCTCGAGTCCAGCCTTTCTCCCAGCGTCCCGGGCTTCACCCCGGGGCAGGTACTGTGGGCAAGTCAACTCTGTACGTCCTGTCCAGACACCAGGTGTCTCGCAAGTGTCTGTCAGATGATGAGTGAGGGAAGGAGCGCGTGAACGCACGGAGAAAACGGGTGGCCAGCACCAGGAACGAGCAAAGCCCCAAATGCCCAGTCTTCCTTCTCTGCTTCTGTCCCCCACAGTGCAATACGGAGGAGCGTTCTCAGCAATGTGACGGGACACTGTGTTCTCTGTAGGAACTGAAGAATGATTTCTAGCCTGCAATTATCAGCAGCTACAAAACTAAGCCTCTGGAGAGTTCCCCTGAGTGGCCCTCCATCCAGGCCTGACCTTTGCCCGCAGCTCCAGGGCAGAAGCCCCACCAGCAGGCAGTCAGCCTCTGGCCCGGCCCAGGGCACTGACTTGAGCGCTCTGCTTAGCGTGAAATTCAAACAAGAGAACACTTGAAAACAGACACTTTAGAAAATTTCTGATTTTACTGAAAAAAACCTCCCTCACACAGGAAAAGTAGGGTAACTTCCTTGCGTTGGCAGCTTGGGGAAGAACAGGCTGGAACATGGGCGACAGCTGGGCAGACAGGACCACTGCCTGAAAACAGCCCAGGAAGGAGGCAGGCCAGCACAGGGGCGGCTCCCGGGACAGGAGGCTGGCCCCGGCTGGAGGCCCTTGGTCCTGCTGGTCACCCCAGCCCACCGCTCTACAGGGCCAGGTCAGCCATGCCAGCGCCTCGCCCACTGGCGCAAGCAGACCCCAGGGCTGCAGCAGATCAGCAGCCTGGGGCCTCCCACGGCACAGCAGCCAGCCCATCCGTCCCAGTCCAGTCACCCTGTGGGCCTGGCACAGGCCAAACCCCATCAACGACAGCAGCGGGTGGGTCACATTTTAACCGTCGGGAAGGAAATGCTGACTCCGAGTTTACTAATGTGGATTCAAGTTACGTTTTCCACTGCTTCCCATCCTCTGCTCCTGCCCAGTAACACCATGGATTGTTAGCTGAGGGACCAGCAAGCCCAGGGCACTGATGAGGAGCCGTCATCCAGGCTCTCCCTGGGGTACCACCAGCGGGGTCTTCCCCTGGACCCCGGCCTCCTGCGGGACGGGGGACGTTGTCTGGGCCCACAGGCAGACACAGAGCCCAGCCCGGCATGGAGTCCATGCTCGGCACATCACTTGGGGAGAACAATGGCCAGAGCCGGACGCCCTCAGGACACGTGGACGAAAGCCGGGGAAGCGGGCTGCCCACACGAGTTACGGACAGAACAGCCATGGCCTCCCCAACCAGGCCCATGCTCTGCCGTGGCGCCTCCAGGCAGCGCAGGACAAGGTCACCAGTTGACACACTGGGGAAACAGCTCTAAAAATGTGTTGGGGGGCATGAGTCACCCTTCTAATGTAAACTGGTGAGCGAACAGATTTGGAAAATTAAACGTATTTCTGGAACATCTATCACTGAAGTAACCTAAGGAAACCATAAAAAGTAAGCCTTTCTCTTCTACAGTGAGTCCCACCTGAGGCCCCAGCAGCAGGGGGCACAGGGACAGCTGAGTTCTCAGCCCCTCCCCAGGAGATGCAGACAGAGGCGGCTCCTGTCTCAGGCTTGGCAGGAAGGAGCCCATCCCAGCCAGAGCGTGATGACCAGC